ACACAAATTAGTTAGCATAAATCAGTTAAATGACGAAAAATTAGGTGTCTATTTACTTGTGACCACTCTGTGTATGTATAAACACACACGAACCATGCACGACTTGGAACGCAATCGTTTAGTTAAACAAAATTAAAGAATAAATACACGTAAGCTTTAATAAAGAATTTTCTTCTATGATATAAAATTGAAATACACTACCTATCAAATATCATGAATGTCTTCTTTATAAAAAAAAAACGTGATAAAATCGTAAAGAATATAAAACGAAACGAACAATCCGAAATAAAACACCAGCCTAAATGTAAAAATTATCATTTGGCAAAACAAATCAGTTTGAGATTTTCACAGAGTCGTAATTTATTGTTAATTTCGTGTTTGTTATATAGACATGCGAAAATTGTGTAATTATTCAAATACCAGGTATTTAGTGATAGGTCTTATTTTGTTTATAGTTGCCGATTTTAATGTTGTTATGGAGTTGTGAAAAAAAAGTGGGACAGCAGTTGGTCATAATGAGTTTTTTAAGTTAGTCAGGGTCCGTGAATTTTCGGTAGAATAATTTTTATGTTATATGTACTGTTCTCTAGAATGTTAAAAAATATAATACGGTAACGAAAAAGTACGTTAATAGAATTTGCAAATCCTCGCGGTGAAATAGGTTGGGAGTAGGCAAAGCGAAGAGTTAAATCTTTATGGTTACGAGGAGATTAAGTACATCTTCCAAAAGCATTAATGGAAACATGTTTCAAACATAAATAAGTAAGTCAGTTTAGTATCCGTAAATCGAAGGGTTAGAATATAAAGAGCTCTAAAGAAATTAAAACCATTTTCTACAGAGCAATAAATCAGATTTTTGAAGAGTAGTTGATGTTTATCTCACGAGGTGGCAAAAGTTGCGCATACATGGCCGGATGAATGTTCACCCGGGGATGAACAATTAAAAACATCTACCAAATGGACATCCATCACTTTTGGACACCTGAGATGATATTCTGTGACTAAAATTAATCGGGCGAGTTTAATTTGGGGTAATTGTATCTCACGGTTGAATATTAATGAAGTCAAGGTATTTCGATAGTTTGTGAACAATGTTTTAAAAAGCCGGTGTTAATAGTATTTGAGGAAATAATTGCTGTTGATTAGCATAAAATATATATCAAGCGAATTATCATTAATAACAATGAAATATATTCGTAGGTTCGAAATAAAATGTATGTTTTCCAAAACTTGGCACACGCAATGAGGATTAGATATTAATTTTATTGCTGATAAACTACCCTATACGAATTTCTTATTCGAGTGTTAATTTAAAAGTGATATCAACGGCCATGTTTTTATTTTTCTCGTGAAACGATATTTATGATTGTGACATGTACTAACTTAAGTGATTGGGTTACACTTAATGTTTGCGTAATTGACTCCCTAAGTTCCTTGATTAAGATTGGTGTTTGAAATTTAGTTCACGTATTATGGCGTGAACACTTTTTCTAAGCTGACTTATCCAAAGGCCCGTTTTATTTTTAAGATTACAGTTTTTATTCACTCCTTTAGAAATTTTTAAGGAGGAAAAGAATACAAGAAAATTTCAATCACGGTAGATTATATCCATTTTCGAGACGCGTTTCGCTCATCAGACCGACTGATGAAGAAGAATTGTTATGTTGTTGTTGCGTCAGCGAGGTCACGTGACTAGTATCACGCCACCTCCTCCTAGAAATATCCTGTTCCTTCGTGAATTGTCGGGAGAGTACTAGATTGGGGTAGTCTGATATATATAAGACAGTCACAACGTGACAGAACAATGAGTAATTGAATGTATGCGGACAAAATATTGTTGGCCACGTGAGAAGTGAGTTATAGCGTTGTTATAGAGCGACTGTTGAAATTAAGTGTATCGTAAAGTTGTATTCGGAAAGAATAAACCAGTTTTATTTAAGAAAGGACTTGTGTCGCTAAAGTTTCGTCAAACGAATTTACGGAAAATTAACGAACGAACGGAGACGTAACAGTATGAACACTTTCTGAGATGGCGATTATAATTAATCATACTACTCATAAAATATTAATATTAGGCCTGTTATTTTATTTAAAAAATCCCCAAGATACTGAACAAAGAATGTAGTGTCAAAAAGATTAGAGGCCTAAATAGCAATACTAACGTTTTAAGACAAGAATAAATAATTTTGATTCATAGTTTTTAATTCATATACTCACACTAATAACAGATGGCAGCATTATCGTTCGCGTAGAGTTGTTTTAAGTGATCATATGTACAATATAGACGTAACCAGCTAATAATGTAAAAAAAAAAAAAAGTTCAAATAATACATTCAGAATGTGTTCATTGGAATTCAAATTCGATGACGAGGAACCCACTTTGGGGCTAAACAACCCTTGGAGATGGGATTAATGAGAAATGAAGAAAAACTTTAATACAAGTTTAACATAACAGCAAATGTACAACTTTTCGACCTGATGATGACAAAACCTGGTCGAAATGTTGTACATTTGCGGTTATGTTAAACTTATATTAAAGTTTTTCTTCATTACACCTTCAAGCGTTATTAGTGTTTATTTGAAATATTACGCATTAAGCAAAAGAAACATGTGCCAGATTATTACTTGAAATAGCCTATTTATCGTGTTCAAATTTATGTAATCTCACAATTTTCTTTTTTATTACAGGTTAACAGGTCGATTAATATATTTATGAACTTAAATATTTATTTTTCCATACAAAAATAATAAATCAAATAATTCTTGCAAAACAAAAACTGAGAAACGACTGTATGTACACATTACGTATATGTTTTCCTTTAAAATACTATTGTAACTTTTCCAGTATCAACATAACATAGATAACGTTTTTTTTTGTTGTTGTTTTTCTCGACATGCCAATCTTAAAACAAACTCGGACGTTATCATATTAACATGTGTTTAAGTTATGGACTTTCAACTTTACACACAAAACACTTTAAGTTATGCTACTTTCATATCAGTTCAGACATTATCACTATTTTTATGTAAGAGATAATAAAGCTGAGGAATCACTGGCGAACCAAGAGAGAAATACACTTTAATAATAAGGTTTACCAGCCTTATTATTAAAAACATGCACGTGTTCCAAGCCAGCACGATAACGAAGGTGGGTCGATGCCAAAATCCACAGGAATGGATGAGTGTGGATCTAGTCATGCTATCAGAGTGACATGCACCAGACGCACAGTCATCCATCCACAGTAGAAAATATAACAGGTAGTCCCTTCTTGGCTTCCTCTTGCAGGTAGCTCCGCGATCCGCCGCCATTAATGACGCTGAAATCGTTCACCACACACTGGACAAAGAGTGGTGACTCGGACTTTAGTGTTACTACTAATAACAGAAGTATCACTCACTGCCACAACAGCTTGCAAATTCA